TAAAAGTAAACTGTAAAAAAAAAAGGACCTATTATGGATAAAGAGCCTACTAAGAAGTAGTTACCACCTTCAAGAGACTTACAGCAACTTTACTACTGTATCAAAGTGAAAAGAGTGAACTAGAGCAGCATCAGAAGCTGCAGGGCATGTGTAAGCTCACACTTAAACCTGCGTAAGATTTATAACAGGTGGCACTCCCTGGTGGTGCAGTGGGTTAAAGCACAGCACCAAGAAGGTAAAGCCTCTTCAGCATGAGTTCAGTCCTCACCCAGGAGGTGATCAACATGGCCTGGCAGACCTCTCCTCACCTGCCTGCTGCTCCCCTCAGCAGTATACTTTGTCAGTCAACTTGTTCTGCTCCCCACTCTGTCTCTGGTGAATCCTCTCACCACCCCTGCACCTCTGGCCTGTACCTCAGTTCTTTATGCATAAATAAATAAATCTTTAAAAAAAAAAGATGTGGTAAATATACACAATCGAATATTACACCGCAAAAAAAAAAAAAAAAAAACACATGCTTTTTGCAGCAGGAGCTGGAAGGGATCATGCTTAGTGAAATAAGCCAGAAAGAAAAGGAAAAATACCAAATGGTTTCACTCATAGCAGGAGCATAAAGGACCAGGGAGATAATAATAATGGATCAGAGACATTTTACAGGGATGTAATGTGGGGAATGGAATAAAAAATGGGAGGGGAGAGAAGTGCACTGGACTATGGTGATGGCACACGGGTGATTTGGTGATGGGAAGCCCATAGGGATTAGAACTGAGATGGAAAAATGCACAAAATGATGTAAAAATAAGCTATTATATTATTTAAAAAATTAATTATTTTTAAAAACTAAGGTTGTCTAAAACAATGGTGGAGCAAAAAATAAACCAAGCTAAAGTGTAGCATGAAGATGGGCAATATCCTGATCGGAGGACCAGATATTCCACACTGTTGGAACAAATTTGAAAAAGAAAAGAAAAAAGAACTTGCTGCAACAGACAGTAGAAAATGATAAAGAGTTAAGCAGGGGAGCAATTGATCACTGCTTTACATCAGCAATTAGGCTGCTGCATCTGTTCCTTGCTTGTTTTAACTTCCAAGCACTGTATTTAGAATAACGTATAGAGCACCTGAGTCTTCTGAGTTCCCGATAAATATGTGTACATGAAGATGCTCCATACTTTGAAATGATTTTCTTTATTATTTGGTGTAAAAAATAATGTAATATTTGTTGGATATGTGTGTCAACTCCCGAACATTACTGAAACTGTTTTACAATTGAACATTACTGAAACTGTTGACACTATCTGTGTTCAAATGCTTTCTAATTTACAAGTGACCTGATTTATAAGTGATCTATCAATTAGACAAAGTACACATCACATTATTTCCAAATAGTGCAATTTTTAGGTTGGGACACTTAATAATGTGATAAAACTTGCTATCAGTACAATACTGTTATGATACTTCTAGTAGCTCAGTAGTCACTTTGATGTGGATTTTTGACTTAATTAAATTTCCAGATTAAATATTTATAGAATATTAGAATTTTTAAAAATTCTCTAAGTATAACTTCATTACAGACTTGTAAATAATTTATTTTTATTTTATGCATATAAGAGCTGGCATGTAGGCCAGAGGTTTGGGGTTCAGGAAGCTGGCTGAGATGAACTCTATTAGCATCAAAAGGACAATTCAGGGTGAACTTGGGAAAGCAGAATTGACTTTTACCCTTATAACTAAGTAGAACTGACCCCTTAAAGCCTAACCCTCATGGTTAGCTTCACCAAAGACAGAGTGGGAAGCAGAACAGGCAGATCTATTCAAATGTACTGTTGAGGGGAGTAGTGGATGAGATAGGAGAAGTCTGTTGCTCCAGTGGTGTTAGATCCCACGGGTTGAACTTGTGCTGCAGTGGCTGCCAATGGCTTCATACTACTGAGACTCAACCCCTTGTGCCTCCAGCAAGGCACTTGTAAACAACTTAAAATCTACCATGCACCTATTAAATTCATTTTTAAAAGCCTTGGTAAGTTTGAAAAATGAGTCCAGTTAAAAGCAGAAATGAAGTATGAGAATGTTTAGTTGTAAGATAGTGACATTATCTTATAGACAGGAGATCAGATGTTCAGAAAGCAGTTGAATCAATTTCATTTGACTGAGGCTAACAGTGAATTGCAAACTTACCCAAGATGATACAGTTCAATAACACTAGACCAATTAGAGGTAATGTGTGTATTGAACTACTGTATGGAGGATATTGTGAAGGGAATATATTTGGCTAGTGGAGGAAAGTTAGACTATTGGTAAGAGATGTATGCAGATTCAAGGATGTGTGTGTATATATATATATATATATATCCTTGTACATATATGTATTTGATTGTATGTGCTTTGTCTTTTGGAACAAAAGAATGTAGGAATACATTGGGACTATAAGGTTCTTATTTTACAAGACTAAAGAACTTTGACATTATCTTCTGTGCAACAGGGAACCCATGAGGAATTTTAGGCAGGGGGATTATGTGAATAAACATGTATGTATATTAGAATGATTGTAGCAGTGTCGATGATGAGCTAGAAACAGAGAAAGCCCAGAGGAAGGGCAACAAGTTAAGAGGATACAAAAGTGATTCCAGAAGCAATAGCTGTGGGGATTGATAAATATACATTAGTTAAAATGTGCATTATAAAAGCATTAATAACCCGCTTAAACAAAATATTCCCACTTTACAGTAACTCTCAAGAATCTTCAGATACCCCATTTTTCCCCCTGCTTCTCAATAGATGGATAATTTACCTCAAGGAGTTTTAGCCCAAAGAGTACTAGAGTCAAGGACAGAGATAAAAATTGGCCTTGGGCTTCAGAATTTCAACTGACCCACATGTCATAGAAGATACTGTGTGAACTGAAGCATATGTATTGAAAATCATTCACCTGCCTCCTCACAGCTGGCTGAGATGAACTCTATTAGCATCAAAAGGACAATTCAGGGTGAACTTGGGAAAGCAGAATTGACTTTTACCCTTATAACTAAGTAGAACTGACCCCTTAAAGCCTAACCCTGCATGGTTATATTAGCATCTTGGATTTTGCATAAAAAAAGTATTCTCAGTAACAAAGATGACTATCTGATCTAGGGTCATAGGTACATTTGAGTGAGATTTTCAAAGCTCAGTCAGCCGTGAGACACTATATAAACAAGGCGTGGGCAGCTAGACCTACTGTTTGCCTCTTAGCTCTATTGCTTATTATGCATGATATAACCTCTTTAAAATTCATTTTCATCTTTGAAAATATGGGCACACTTTAAACCAAACCCACTTGCTATTGTAAAAACAAATAAACAAACTTGTAAAGGTCAAATGACATAGTGTTTATGAATGTGTTCACCAAAGGGTGTGAAAGACAGAAGGTAACTGAAATGATGCAACAACAAAAAGTAAGCGTGTCAAGCTTGGTTTAAGATCAGTACTCTGGACTTAGTGTCCTCTGGATTTAAGTCCAGACTACAACTTGGTGCCCTTGGGCAAGTAACAAGTTATTTTCTTTATAGCTTCCAATATATTTACATGGAAAACTTCTCATTCTTTAAGACCAGGTTCACATATCACTTCTCCAAGAAGTCGTCAGAAGCTTCTCCACAGGAATTGTTGCTCTTGTCTATTCTCTCACAGATATCCATGTGTCACTTCCCAGCAATTTTCTTGATTACAAGTCATTGGAAATTCTAATTTAATTAGAGAGGAAATGTGTTGACTCATAAAACCAAGAAGGGTTAAAAAACAAACATGTGAAGGGCAGGAGGACAGCTTCAGTTTTAGAAGTTCTGTGTTCTAACTTCAAAGGTTGCTTTTCTTTGTTAGTTTTCTCCTTAATTCAAATTGACTTTCTTTGTAACTTGAGAGATACAGCTCTTGATAATGTCGAAATCTTGAAATCTCCCCCATGTGCCACTAGGAAGGGAAGCCATTTTTTTCAGAAACAGTTTTGAAAATCTCAGGAAAGTACTAAGACTTGACCACTTCCAAACCAAACCAGGTAATTATGTGTGACCAGAGAGGCATTAGTAGTGTGACTTAGGCATTGTTGCCATCAGTGAACCAATGTTCAATGTGTAGGGAATCAGAGTTATCAAAAACCTGGAGGCTCTTAAGTACAACATTTAGATTTCAAGATTATATGAAGCAGGGTCTCCCTGGTGGCCTCGCGGTTAAGTCTCAGCTACCATGACAGTCTACCATGATGGCCTGAGTTGATCCCTGGCCAGGAACTAACCCACCTATGGTGCAATAGACCTCTTCTGTCTCACCAGCTTCTCCATTTAGCAGTGTGTTTCAGTTCATCTGCCTGTCCTGCTCCCCATTCTGTCTCTGGTGAATTTGCTTACCCCCCACAACTCTAGACTACATCCCAGTCCTTCTATGAAAAGTATATGAAGGTACAGTTTTTTAGGTAGGGAGATAAGAAAGTAAAACCAGAATTCTCACAGATGCTACTTTTTCCTGTTTATTCACATGTTTTCAGAATCAGACAGTGAAGTACATAAAGACAATACTTAAATCTAAGACAGTGACTATGTCTTATTTAATGGGTACTGAAAATGCATGTGTGTATTTGTGTGTGCATATATGTGTGTGTGTGTACACACTTCAATAACACTTGCTTTTAATAATACTTAATATGCATAAGTTGTGTTAAGTAACATCTAATCCTTTTGGGAATACAGTCTCTGGTATTTGCAACTCTTGGCAGCTAATATTCATAGTTAAATCTGGAAAGTAAAAATAAGTCAAATATTTTAGAAATCCATAAAAAAAACTGGACAAGCGATGTTTATAGATTACCAATTTAATAATATGCTTTTCTCTTCAAAAGGAGCTCCAAATTTATCCACCCATTTTTTTATTCCAGTTGCAAAGTGATAGATGAATTTTTCAGTCATATTCTCAGATCATATTTATGATTTCAAAGATCTTTGGTGATTAGTCGAGTAGACCATTGCCTCTCAGAACAGTTTGTAACTCTCTGTCTCCAATAATTTGTCTCCTTTACGTTCATTCTTAGCCAGGCAATGTTTCTGAAGGCTTGAATTCACCTTTTTCTTTGGGATTTGCCTTCTGCAGGAAAATGCACACTCTGAAAGACTACTCACATGCTGTATGTCATTCACTTCATCACAGACTTCCTTGGTAGCCTGTAGATCTGGGTACTGGCACTTGTTTTTTCTGTGCCTAACTCCTCTGGTTTTTCTAGCTCTAGGAAATGTGTCTCTTTGTTTCATTTCTTCTTTACTGGGAGATCTGGGTTTCTTAGTATGTAGGCATGTGGAATTGATACAGTGACTTCCAGCTTGGGAAGCAACTTCACTTTTAGAACAGCACTTGGGTCTCTTCTCAACAGTTGAGGAAAGCTTCCCATATTGGACTGTAGTTGAAGAGGGCTCTGGGTAGATTGACTCATGCCCATACACATTCTTTTCTTTTGAATGCTCACAGAATAGCTTATGGATGAAGCATTCACTTCTGTGTCTTCCTTTCAGAGAGTGAGTACTTGAATCTCTGCTTACTGATCTTTTGGAAAGTTTGTCACACCAGGATTTGGATCTCTGAGTATGAGACCCTAAGTGTCTTTGGGTTGTTCTACTGGAGTGTGAACCAACTGCAAACTGGGAGGATTGTCTACAGATCATCCTCTTTTTTCTGGAAGAGGTCAGCTTCCTGCCATCTGTCTTTGGAGAGAGGGCAATTTCTGAAATGGAGCTCCAAGAGGGATCTCTCTTTCTGCACTTGCACCTTATCAAGGATCTTTGTCTGGGGTGTCTTTTCTGAAAGATTTTTGGTGAAGAGTCCAAGTAGTTATTTTTTTCTGCTTCTTTTTTCCGACAATTTGTCTGCTGATCAACCCTTAAAATCTTCCTTTCTTTTAGGCTAAACTTAGCTGGTTGCTCTTGATTAAAAATTGCTGGGGCGCTGATGGCACGAGCAGTTGTTTCACTCTTCCCTAAATTCTGGACATGACTAGGAATCAAATTTATTCCTTCTTTCGTCCTCTCTTGAAGACTTTTTTTGAGACTCAGTGAACCCTGACCCCTTTCCTTTGGTTTAGCACAATGCAGGAACATATTATTAGTAGAAACCATGCCTGAATCTGATTTGTCTTTGATCCAAGCTTGTTTTTTACTTGCTGCTTTATGAAGGATGACTGGAATTTCAGATTTCTTTAAGAAAGAGTCAACATTTGAAAATTGTTGCAAGCCTGATAGAGGTCTTTCATCATTATTCCACTGGCCCTTGGTATTTTTAGACTGTTTTGTGTCATGTTTAGAAACAAGAACAGCCTGATCTGAGGGCAAAGGCAAAACTGGAACTGTTACGGTGGACTTCTTTTTCACCCATGATGAAGCAGAAGGACATTGATAAATGGCTTGCTTGTCATAGGTATCCATGTTGTAAGGTGAGTGAACAAAGCTTATAAACTCATGCAGAAAATGATGGGTATATTGTTGGAGATAAGGTTCTAAGAGGTGAATGAAGGACTCACTGTCCAGGTCATATTCTGTCATGTGGTGGAGAATGGTGGCTAGGAGATTCTTCACTGTGTACCCATAATCTCCATAAACAGCAGTTAGTTCCCGTTTTAGCCATGGGACCAACCTCTGTAGGCAACCAGGGTTTCTCTTGAAGTAATTTGCTGAAAAGTGCTTTACAAGTCTGTATCCTTGGACATGTGCCACCCAAATTCCAGAATAATACAGAGCTCTTCTGAACTTCATTACCACCTGTTCTTTAAAGTAACCCACAGATATGGAGTTTGGTTGGAATTTCCAGGTATCCCCAAACTCCTTCAGTAACTCTTGAACAGTCAGTTCTCTCAAAGGTCTGAGTTTCTTTGCAATACATTCAGGGCTCATACTGAGATGATTATTTTGAGTGGACTCCTCGTAGCTTTCCCCCTCTGAGGGAAGAAACACTGAGTCTTCTTTGGTATTATTCTCTGACTTGGTAGAACATGGAGCAGGAAAGAACTGCACACTGCAAGAAGGTCTGGATTTCTTCCTTGATCTTGAATGTAGAGAGTTATTGACACTCTTGTTGGGGTGGGAATTCCCATCAGACTCGATTTGCATATCATCCAAGCAGTTAAGGCTCTCACAGTCAGATGAGAAATCTGATGGCATTGCCCTGAACTGATTGTATTTCACAGTTGTATGTGAGAAAAATTGGTTCAAATCAATTCCTCATTTGGCATGAAAAAGCCCTATTAAAAACATTCCATGCATATTTCTGTAATATGTTTTGTCTCCATGGAATAAATTCTAGAATAAAGCTAAAGAACAAACAGTTCCCTCACATTAATAATAGTGAGCTCAATAGCTCATAGACAAGGCAATGAGGATTCAAGCACAATGATTTTCTCTTTCTCAAATTGTTGCTGTGAACTCTGAAAAGCAAATTAGAAATATACACCAATATTTAAGTATCAAATATAGCAATTCTAACTCTAGAGATTTAATCTAGATATATAAATCCTCAAATAGATAAAGATTAGGGTTTTTTAAGGAATAAAAAAGTAAAATAACAACCTGAGTCTCTACCAGTAGAAAATCTGTTAACTAAATCATGGTTAACTCTTTGTATTTAATGTATTTAATGAAAGGCAAGTCTATAATACATATAAGAGAAGATCACTGAATATATTGTTAAATTAAAATGTTAGTTTATAGGAAAAGACTATTAGAAAATCTTAGAGCTTTACCATTCATTTCTGGTAGTGTTGTGAACAAGACACCTTGAAAAATAATCCCACTAGGAACGATAAAAGAATGCATGCTATAGTTGTAAGTATAGATCAATATAAATATATCTAAATTGAGAGAAGTGAGTGAAATTCTCAGAGGTGATAAACAAAATATCAGAAATGGATGTAGTTCTGATATCACTCTCCTGCAGCAGATGATAGAAGAGTGAATAGTGTCCACAGTTGAATATCTGTCTAATAAGAATCCTGCATATAAATCTGTGTACTCAAATGTCTACCTTTTGTCTCACAAGAGTCAGTGAGAAAAATTAGCTGATATTTTATAACTAGAAACAAGTTTGCAGACTAAAATCAAACAATCTGTTTCTGTAAAACCTCAAAAGGGATCATTTATTTTGAAGTTGATCCAACTTGGAAGAAGCAAACCCCTTTCTCAACTTAAAACCAGGTCTCATGACCAGGACAAATATCCTATAAGAAAATTTCACAACAAAAAATCACTAATAAAAAACATCATTATAAACATTAATTCACAAAAATAGTAACATATTTGCTCCTAAAAGAATCAGAAAATGAATGAGCTGCAGGATTGTGTAATACTCATCCCATCTTATGAGGTTCCAAGCTATCTTTTCCAGTGTAATGCTTTCACTAAGTCGTCATTCATCTTGAAAAATAAGATGACAACAATTACATTATTTAGGTATTTACCTGCTAGAGGATCCACACTTGTTTGAGCCTTAACTGCTGGATTAATTTGGTTGTCGAAGATTACCTCCGTTGTGTTTACCTAGAGACAGAATTTAGAACTTAAAGCAAATTCTACTGTGGACTGAAGAAAGACTATTCCAAGTTTTCCATGAAACATTTCATCTGTTTTTTCCAAGTATACTGAGTCCCAAATAACTTTAAGATGCAAGCTCTTAATGAAACAGAATTGAGGTCCGTGACTTCAAAGGTCGCCAGAGCCCTTTACTTTTTTTTATTATATATTTTAATTATTGTTATTATTTATTTTTTACATCATTCTTCATTTTGCGCACCCCCACTTTACTTTTCTAACAGACCAATCAAAACCAAATAGACTAACTCAGAAGAGAGCAGGGCACTGGGGGGAAATAGTTGTTCCTGATAAGTGAATTCTCCAAAAGAACAGTTGCTAGTTTAAGATTAATATTTTTTGGGGGGGGGCCCTCCCTGGTGGCACAGCGGGTTAAAGCACTGCACTGAGAAGCTAAAGCCACTTCCGCATGAGTTCGATTCCCGCCTGCCCCGGAGGTGACCACATGGTGTGGCAGACCTCTCCTGACCGGCCCGCTGCTCCCCTCAGCAGTGTACTTCGTCGATCTGCCTGTTCTGCTCCCCACTCTGTCTCTGGTGAAGCCTCTCACCGCCCCGAGCTTCTGGCCTGTACCCCAGTTCTGTATGCATAAATAAATAAATCTTTAAAAAAAAAGATTAATATTTTTTTAAAGATTTATTTACTTATGCATACAGAACTGGGATACAGGCCAGAGGTGTAGTGAGAGGATTTACCAGAGACAGAATGGGGAGCAGAACAGCCAGATTGACAAAGTGTACTTCTGGGGGGAGCAGCGGGCAAGTCAGGAGAGGATTAGGATTTAAATTAAATTAAAAATTTGTCACTTTCTCTTTAAAAGCAAAATATGAATAAACTATTACTAAAGACAAGGTTGTTAATGAATGTCTTGGTTGTGTACCACATTTTGGACCAAGATTATTAAAATGCATTATTTGGAGGGTAATTTGTTCATTATAGCTAAATAAGTATGATATAGTCAACACAATTGGAAGGTCACTCATTTTGGAAGTATGACTCATTATCATAGTCCTTTAAAGTTTAGTCATGCTTGCAAGGTTATTTAACTTCTCTTAGATCCAGGATGAAATCAATTTAGCTCATGGGATATCTGGGGGAATTACACAAGCTAATTTATGTTAGTGTCAGTGATTCATAGCAGTTCAATAGAACACTCATTTTAGTGTTATTTTGAGTAAATTTCATTGTGAATTACCAAGATAGTAAATCACCTTTGTTTTTTTGTTTTTTGAAATGTGTTTTGTGAGATTCTGTAATACAAGATAAATATCATTTTCAATGCCTTCATAATTATAGGGCAACACATATTCCTGTAATCTTTCCACATCTCACAGCTTTATATGGAGGAAAGACCCATATAAACATGAGTTCTTATTCTGCTTTTACTCTGGGAAATTTCACATATGCCTTCAGAGTATTGGCTTACCCTTCAATGAAATGAAGTAAGGTTAATTAAAATGAGATTTAGGGGTAAAAGTATTTTGTAAAATACAATGACTATTAGTAATAATTTTCCTCAAGAGTTAATCTCATTTATACACTATGCCTCTCTCAGTATAAATAACCAATAAATACCTGTTGAAAGGAAGAGAGGGGAGAGATAGAGAAAGGACGAAAGGGAGGAAGGGAAGAAGAAAGAACATGATAGGCAAAAACATATCTAAGTTTTTGCTGCGGATACTTAAATTTTCAGTCTGTCATTTTTTTCCCTACCATCAGATTCAGTTCCTAAATACTGATATTCCTAAAGAAGTTTAGAATGGAAATGTTGCTGAAAAGGGGTGCATTGGCATCCAAAGTAAGAGTACTTCAAATTCAAGGAGTTCTTAAGTTGACAATGATAGATTAATTTGATCATTAGACACTGAGATCTTACCCTTTATCTTCCTACCTGAGACCTGAGGTAGGTACTTGAAAGTCTTATTCTGCATTTTTCCAGCTTCCATGACTCTAGGACAGAAATTCTCCAACTAAGTTCTACTGGGGCCCTTCTTTGTAGAATATTGAATATCTTCCATAGTTCCTAACCACTACATGCTAGTATCGCCTCCTATTCAAGTATGATAACCAAAAATATTTCAAGATACTGTCAAATGTCTCCTGAGATGGTAAAATAGAGTGCCCATCCCCATGATGTGTTTTGAGATTGGAGACTTCCTCTCCAGAACTCGCAGCAGTTCTCTCGCCAAGAAGTTCTAGTATGTGTATTAATTGGAAGGAGAAATTTTGTATTAGCTGAAAGAGCCTGGGTTTGAAGCCAGAAAATCTGAGCTTCAATTTTGACACTTTATACTTGGATTTGTTTTTCATAAGCTGCTTAGTTACATTCTGAGTTTGATTTGTTTCATTTATATATTCAAGCTGGGAAAGTTTTTTTGTTACACTTACTGTCACCAACAGATTATATATCTATGTGTCTGTTCTCTGCTCTCTAATATAAGCTCCCTTAAAAAAAGGATGAAGCCTTTGGTTTATACACTACTGTTTCCTCAGTTCTAAGTCTGGCACACAAGAATGACTTATCTGTATTTGCTGAATAAAGTTTCTATTAGTGGCACAAAAATTAGTGTCTAATAAGTATATACTAGGTGTCATTTTTTTTTCTTAAGGTACATCTCAGCTTTCTTACATTTATGAAAAACTAAATAGCAATTCAGTTTAATGCTTAGCATTAAATAGCAAATTCATTCCCCCCGAAAAAAGAAACAAATAAATATGGTACTAAGTTACTTGTGAAAAGTAAACTGGTTTATATTCATTATCATGAAAGCCAAAATAAGAAAGCAGAGTGTCACCTAGTTTGACCTGAGCTAGGACTGAGTTGGGTGACTTCAGTTTTTCACCATTTTGCCCAAGTCCATGAATGACCATGAAACACTGTGAGCATTATCTTGGTTTTACAAATACATTTTAGGAAGTACACAAATTCACAAATAGTCATAAGTAATGACAATGACAGTGTTTGTGGGCAAAAGCATGTGTACATATAGAGGAGTAAAAATTGTAACCCAAAAGATATATGTATGTATGTATGTGTATGTATGTATGTATATATATAGTGATAGATAAATATGTAAAAGACTGATAAATCAATAATAATAATAATAATAAAGATTAGCTTTGCAAGGGAATTCTTTTTAACTTAATTCTTAGGGAAAATGGTAAAATTTCATTCCAATCCTGGTAGCTTTCTCTGTATATATAACAACAGAACAGGGTCTCTCTTTCTAAGGTATCTCCTTCACAGACACACGGAGGGAACCAATGACTACAAATTCCTAGTACATGTTTTGTTCCAATTTGCTGTTCTTTGTGGTTCCTGATTCTTCATATATTCAGAGATTTCTCAACTCTCTGTTTCTGACTTTTAGTTTAATTCCACCATGACCTGACAGAATGCTTTTTAGGAATTTTAGTATTTTACATTGGTTAAGGTGTGTTTCATAAGACTCTACTGTGGTGAATAATCAGTTTAAACTTGAGAAGCGCATGCATCCTGTTATTGTTTTATGGAATAGTCTATTAATAACAACTAGATCAAGTTAACTTAGTGTGATTCAGGTAAACTATATCCTTCC